CACAGACGCTAAGCAGCTTGGGGTCCAAGGAGATGGGGCGGAGGGAGGGGTCTGGGAATTGGGAGGAGGCTGACATCAGCCCTGGCCACTTCCCATGGGGACAGCCGCCGTGGGGTGGACCCAAGTTGAGGGGGACTGACTCATTCCTGAAACTGACACACACCCCCGGGGCGGGTCTGAAGGGAGGAGACTGAAGGCCTGGTCACGTGGCCTTCTCAGCGAGGGGAGTCAGAAGCCAGCCTGTCCCTTTGGCTGGGCCCCCGGGCGTCTGCTTACGACAGTGCCAGGGACGGGCAGCTCAAATAAGTCCCCCGCGTCGCCTCGGGCATCCGTCCCCTCTCCCCCTTCCCTGGTCCGGGCAGCCGCTGGTGCCTGACTTCTGCAGCTTGTGTGCCTCAAAATCATGGGTACCCCCGGCACCCAGATCCACACAAGTCACACGCAGGGACAAGGGCCAGCCCTCTGCACACGAGCGCCCGTCCCTTCTGCGGCTCCTTGAGTGACAAGCTGCCTGCAGGGGAGCCTGCCAGCCAGGCTTGGATGAAGCCACCGCCTTGTGGAGGCCACCCCTCCTTCACCCCACCTCCTCCCTCCCTCCTGGAGCCTGCTTGCTCGAGATGCTCGGGGTCTCACCCCTCTTAGCGCGAGGCGTGTTTCTCTGAGTCCCGCACGTCCCGTCCCCTCGACATCCCCGGGGACCGGCTTCTGTGTCCCTTTGATGTCCTTCCTTCCTGCTGACCCTCCTGGGCCGCGCTCGCCTGTCTTCGAGGAGGCGTCCTGCCTGGCCAGTGCAGGAGACCCGGTTGTCCACTAACCCAGGCCCCCAGATGGCATCTTCCGCCCTCTTTTCTTGGACCACACCGCTGCCCTAGCTCTCCGTCCCCTAAAACCCTCAAAGCCATTTTCACGCGGACATAAGTGAAGCCAAGAGACCCCTGTCCCGAGCTCACGTGTCCAATGCGTGCACTTCAACGCAGGTGGACCTGGCTCGTGTGTCTGTGAAGTTCACCTTTTGAGGCCTGGACTGTGTCTGCCTCGTGTTAGGGTAGTTATACGCCCGGATGTCTGTCATCTCCAAAATTATAAGCCCGTGGCCCGTTTGCTCCTGCTCGTCGGATGAGAGACCCCGTTTTTGCAGACACCCTCCCTGATGGGCAGAATCAGGGCCTAGTTTGCATCTGTCCATGGAGATGGACACATCTCTCCCCACATGGAGGGAAAACTCGCACGTGCTTGCAGCGGAAATGCCCGCAGCCACATGCTCCTCACCTCTAACCCCCGCAGGCGTCCTGTCCCTTCTCTCACCTGCCTCAGAGCTGCCCCATCGTGCCCTGGCGTGGCGTCTCTTGTAAGGAGCCCTTGGTCCAGCCCCTCTTATGTATGGTCCCTTGATCTGGGGGGCCACGCTCTGGGGGTCGGTCGGCACACTTTTTCTCGGAAACCTAGAACATCACAGCATCCTCAACTTTATTCTTCGAACCTTGCCTGTTCCTGCAATTTACAACCAGCTCCCCCAACGCCTTTCCATCTCCTAGCCTCTTTTTGGTTCTATTAATACAGTTTTCTCGGAGAAGATGTCGCCTGGCATGGTTAATGGCAAAGACATGCCTTCAAGAACCGCTGGTCAGATGAGTGACGGGTGTCAATCTTCTGGCTGGAGGGCCCCTGGGATGTTTAAGGCGACTTCTGTCCTGCCCTTGGCTGTCTCTGTCCTCGTCCCCTTCCCTCCTGACACCCGTCCCCTCCTCTGCCAGCGTGGGAGATGTCAGCACTGAAAGCCCGCCGCTGCGTCCCTGCTGCCTGCTCCCTGCTCCTCCCCCGGAAGGCGCCACGCCGTCCCCGACGACACAGGCCACAGGGCGCCCCGAAGGGTCACAGAACACCTGTCTGTCTGAATAAGGCAGGGCCAGCGGGGGCCCCTGGCAGGTGAGCCTGTGCAGATGTGCGTTTGGGGGAAAGCAGGGGCCGGCTCTGTGCGGAGCCGAGCGGAGGACCATCCCGAGGGGGCTGTCCGGGCGCTCGTCCACCTGCCTGGGCCTAGTCCCCCAGCTACAGCCCCGCGTCTCGGCTCCGGTAACTCACTCCACTGGGCCCTGCGAAGGCCCCATCTCATCTTTAAAAGCCAGCCGATGGACTGATTAAACGTAGTCCCGGGCTAAGGGGTGCAGAGGTCTTTTAGGTGTAGAATTAGCCTCCACCTGAGAAGCTAACCAGCACGTGGCAGAGAACGCGAGTCCGGAGAGCTCAGAGCTCAGACCGAGGCCGGGGGCATCCTGGGCTGTCTGGTCTCCCTTCTCCGCCGTGTCTGCAGGACTCGGTGCCTTGTCTCTGGAGGCCGGGGGAGGTCAGCAGGCGGCCGCTGAGATGCAGGCCGCTCCTGGGAATCTTGGACGTCTCAGGACAGTCTGCCGGGATGCAGGGATCGCACGGGAACAGGTGGCCCTGCAGTTCTGGAATCTTCTTGCCCACAGTGAGGGCTGTGGTCCAGCTCAATGGTTCCGTTCACGCATTTGTCTGCAAGTCTTCTCTCCAGAGAGCTCGGGGGAATCCTGGGTGGGAGAGCAGATGGGAACGCGGGCGCGGGAGCCACTCCCAGCTCCGCCGCTTGCCAGCTGTGTGACCCCAGGCAAGTTGCTCGACGTCTCTGTGCGGGAGCTCCTCCAGCTGTGAAATGCGGTAGCAGTGCCTTGCTTATAGGGCTGTTGTTAAATATTACGGGGTTCAATATTACCTTGCGGTGGCCATTCCTGGGGTGAGGCGGACGCCCCTTCTGTGGAAACGTGACGTCACGTGCCATGCTGGTCAGTGTTGTAAGCTCATTCGGCATCTCTTCACCCACTGTGTCCTCTCAGTGCCCCCACTGGACCATGGCTGACAGTTACCCCATCGTTTTTACTAGATGAGGAAACCGAGGTATAAAGAAGCTACGAGGCTTACCCAAGATCCCAGAGCTTATGACGAGTGGAGCTGGGAGGAGGGTGTAGCTCAGGGGCAGAGCCCGTGCCTTGCGTACATGAGGTCCTGGGTTCCATCCCCAGCACTGCCCTTAAAATAAATTAAAATATAGACCTAATTACCCATCCTCTACACCCTCTGCCAAAATAAAAAAAAGAAGAGAGAGCTGCTGTACGGCCGAACGGACGGGAGTGTACGGTTACCGAGCGAGCATGCTCCGCCCGGTCCTTTCGTAGGGAGGGCGGTCCCTTG